TATTTTTAAAACAAAGATTTGAAGCTAAGAGGAAAGCATGTTCATCCATATCCAATAGGCAGTTGGTAACAGGATGGACTTTGACCCCGGGCCTGGGAATGCCGGGGCTGTTTCTCCTCATCCACCTTCCTTTCTGAAGAAATCAGGGATGGAGAGAGCCAAGCGAGAAGTTGAAATTGCATGCCCACCTGAGGCTTCCTGACAATGGCATCTGGGGTCCGGGTGGGTGTCATATCCCACTCACCCACCCTCCCCCAGCCCAGAAGGCAAACCTCCCACTTAGCAAAGGAAGCAGAGTTAGGGGCAGAAGAATGGTCCTTCTTCCCCCACTATGCTGCCCGCTCACGCCCACACCCACACCCACACCCACACCCACACCTCCCAGAGCAGAAGAGCTACATAGGGCCTGTCTTCCTCAACACCAGTACATTAGAGCACCCCAAATGGGCAGGGGGACATTCGCTGGAGACAGAGAAAACAAAAAGAGAGGCCGGCACAGGTACTCACCATTGCGTCCTCTAGGGCTCAGGGTCTCTAGGCAAATGAGCGCTTCCTTGGCCCACACGCACGGGCTATTTATGCTGAGCCACCCGGTGTTGGTCTTTTAAGAACTTTTTTGAACAACTTTCTTCCTTGTTGACTCACACTCACCCCACCTGGGTTCAGGAAACTTGCCACCACACACATGTCACCTTAGAGTTTACAGAGCACCTCTCAGTGCATGACTTCATCAGAACCTCACTAAGCTTTGTGAGTTTAGCGGCATCATCAATGTCTGGATTTTACAGATTTCCACAATCTGAATTCCTGAGAAAACCAAAGGCAGGGAAGCAGAGTGAGGGGCAGATGAGGAAGCAAGTTGCATAATAACCTACAACTATTGCAAAAGCATATGCATTTGCATATTTCAAGAGCAGGGCTTGCTGTACCAACTTCTCTTTGTCCATCACCTCAACATTACTACCCAGATAGTGGGAAAGGGCTGGGAGCTTCTTGGCATTTCTGGGCAGGGGTGGAGGAGCTAGAGGGGTTGCAGAGGCTGCAGCATTCTGTGAGGACAGTGGCAGGGGAGCTGCCACCTGCAGGGGTCACTCCTTAGCTTCCTGGTCTAGATGTTGGAGAGCTCCTCACTTGCTTTCTATGGGATGGAGTCCTTACATTCTTGCCTTCATCTCTCCACTTCCTTAGCTGGTGTTTCCTCTGTGTATTGCTCTAGGAAGCAGTTTGGACCCCTGAGCTGCTGATACACTATTGCGGGCATCCCCCAGGAAACTCTCACTTCCAGTGGCCATGGGGATGTTGCCTGCCCTACTGCTGTTGCTGTCATCTCTGCTCCCTTCTAGATCCCTGTGGCCTCACCTCTTGCATCAAGCCTTTGCCTAGGTCCACACACCAGCTGCCTATGCCCGCAATGTTCTCCTTTGGCCACTCCATTGGTGGTGCCGAATGCTCCTGGGTGTTGTTGCTGCTATGGCATCTCCTTGTGTATTGTAGAGGCTCTAATGCCAGTTTCCTCGTGGTAGGAAAGGGTCTTATTTCCCATAATGCAATTTTTTTG